AAAAAAAAAAGAGCAACAATACCATATATGTTAATCCCACCATTTCAATTTTTAGGAATTTATTCAAAAAGAATAATCAAGGAATTGTACAGAAATATAATAAGTACATTTACATCAGCTTGGCACGTGCAATGAGATGGAAACCTTTCGCTGTATGAACAATAAGAATAAATACGATATCTGGAGTTATTAATAAGAGAAAATTAGAAGGACTTACCTAAAACTTTGCTGTAGTATGAATTCCATGCTCCCCAGTAGGATTGAAATATATAGTCTTGCAGTGGATAAGATATGGTATTTTTAACCCTTTCAGCAAAGGTCATCTGGTCAGTGAGCTCTGACAAGGCTGCAGGTACATAGGAGACTGGTGCTGGGATTTTTCCACAGTGTCTCTCTACCGTTGAGGCTGGAGAGAACCTCAAGGTATACATAAATGGAATTCCTAATTTCAGAGCAACCAGGTCACCACAGATCGTTACTGGGTCTGCTACCAACACATCAAAACCACCTTTCTGAAGTCTCGCCATTAACCTGGGGTTGTTTAATACGCCATCACAGATTTGTATATTAATTCGAAAAAAAGTATCTACGAGTTTTCCTAGTTCTTTGTAGAAAGTCCACAGTGTGAGAGGAGTTGGTCTGTGGTCTATCCACAGCATTATCATATGTTCTACCAAGGAATCTATATCGCTTGTCTTAAAAAGAACAGGTATCACTTCAAAATTCACAGGAGACTTCACATTGGAATTGATCAATAGAGTTGCTGATGAAGCCAGTACAGTCACATTGTGATTTCTTTGAATCAACTCTTCTAGAATGATCTTAATATTTAACCAATGGCTACCATCTGTAGGCCAAATTAGCACATTCCCACTTAGAACAATTTCAATCAGAGTCAAATTAAAAACCAGCAGCTGGACAAACTTCTTAGGCATGGCGATATCCACTATGGAAACCATCCTACTGTAGATCTTTTAAGATAAAAAGAAATCTTCAAAGCACTTTTGGGTAGATTTTTTTTCAAATAAAATAATATTTAATGATATGGTTACACTCAATCATAGGTCAATCAATCTACAGATTAAAAGAAAAACAATATGATTCAAATTCTTATATGGATTAGCATGATTATTCCAACAACAGAAATGAAATCTGATCCCATTTTAAAGAAACAGGAGCAGGGAGACAATAAATCTAGTGTCCGTATATTCAGTGATAATAACTATGAGTTATACAATGTGTATTCAATATAATATATCTTTCCCAAAGTCAGACTAAAAGAAAAATAACAACCTTTTACTGAAAAAAACACTTTGTCAAAATTAGGGCACTTTCAAGTTGCATGTCTCCATTATCAGGGATTTTTGCGTAGATTAACTTATCCAGTCTTCTTCATGATTCTGTGTGGCAGAAGTTATTTCCCTCATTTCATGAATAACAAAACCATAGATGAGTTGCATACACAAAAGCATACGACAAAGTAGAACAATTGGGATTATAATCAAAACATTACTGGACTCATTGCTGTACCAATATTATCACTTCCTCATGGCTCACATTTAGAAAGAAAAATTTAACAAAAAAAACCCTTCGGGTTGGGTGGGCATGCCCACAGGTAATGGAGATGGGGTGCACTGTGTGGGGGAAGGACACGCTTATGGTCCTGGTGTGAACGAGGCAAATGCATTTCATGTAACCAAAAT